ATTAGATTGATTTCTGAAGGATCATGTGTCACTGAAGACTGGAGTATTGGCTGATTCAGCTTTGCCATCACAGGAATACATTTTGTTTTAAAATATATTAAAATAGAAAATAGGCATTTTAAATTGTAATAATATTTTACAATATTGCTGTTTTTACTGTATTTTTGATCAAATAAATTCAGCCTTGGTGAGCATAAGAGACTTATTTCAAAAACATTAAAAACTCTTACTGACCCCGCACTTTCGAGTCGTAGAATTGATTGTTTATTTTCTTTATTCTGGTCCATTGATAATGTTTACGCTTATGCAATTTTTAAAAGATTTTCCTGGGGAAAAAACACATTTGATAGCTGAAGAGTTTTATGACTCTTAAAGTTAAAGATTTGTGGAAATGGAGTTTTGAATTTTGCATACTTGTGCTCTTAATGGCGCCTCTGCCTCTTTTGTTTGCTCTTCACCACAATTTCTCTCTCCGTCTTTGCAGACGTCTTCCTTGAACTCTGTCAAGAGTCATAAACCACTGGGCTGCTGATGAACTCAGACGTGGAGGGAGGATAGTGAGTGAGAGAAATCAGAATCAGGGGTCATCGCCTTAAGAATACGAGCAGTTTGTAAGTAGTTCTTTCCTTGGTCTTAACTAATCAAGATTTTTAGATATTTTTAGATTTTTTTATTTTAGCATAGCTTTTTCCATATTCTCTCATTTATTCAAAATAGCTTAAATGGCTACACAATATCCACTCCATTAAAATTAACAGCACTCAAAATATCCAATTGTTTGTTTACAATTGGATATTGTTAAAAAACAATCAGATTGCTGAATACCGTGATTTCAGGTTGGTGGTGTAGAATGTGATTCCACCTGCAGAGATGAGAGGCAGAAAGGGTTTTTTGTACTTGGTGAGGTGGTTGTAGCAAAAGTCAGGTATAGGGTCAGCTCTTCTTCTGCTTCATTCTCTGAGGTATCACCATATCAATATCTCTCTGAGCGTGCATTTTTGAGAAGAAACACTCAGAAGTGATGAGTGCTGAACAGCCTGTAGGCCTCCAGAGACCAAATCAAACTCTGTGTTTCCTGTAACCTCAGCACCATGGGAAGTGACCACCCACGCTTCTGCACACACACAGAATAACGAAGGCCTGCTCTCCTCTGTCCGACGATGTGAGCCACCGCTCTGGGTGTTTTACACAAAGTGATGATTTCTTTGTCAAACATCCCTTCGATACACACACACTCACACACACACACACACACACACCGGTTTTTCCCTGAAGCGATGCACAACCCCCAACCCGTTCATTCCTAGCCCACTACGGCTAGGCCTCCAATTAAATCAAAAGTGGTTTGTTTTTATTGGTGTTTTGCGCTGACAAGTGGGCTATCATCCTGACGACTCTACCTGTCAGTGAGCGACTGAAAATTCTCAGTTGACAATGCCCAATGCTTCCAATTAGGAGAGAATCAGACTCCTGGCATGTTAGCGATCTTTCCACCCTCCCCCAAGACCCTTCTTTAAGGCCCCCCACTCTCTGGCACCCCCATCTTTCGGCACTCGCCCCACCAACTTCTGCCATTTCGCTCTCTCATTCTTGCTTCCGTCATAATTTTCCCCTTCGCTTTTTTCAAGGTAGGTATATCTCCTCTGCAAATTACTGACACAAAACGGGGTGGCGCACTGGCGGTCCCGAGCCTGAGTGCTGGCGGTCCCGAGCCCCCTGTCAGCTTTAATGAGCCAATAAAGGTATATTTCTCCAGCATGAATGCGCTAAAGTCTTTCTTGTGTGACAGCTGACTGGGAAATGTGAGTGTTAACCTTATAAAAGATTCAGCGGTTCTCATTATTATATGTGTGTGTGTGTGTGTGTGTGTGTGCATGCATTTGTTTATATTATATTGTATATATTATATTTATGTTATTACTATTATATTTATATTTATGTATTTACTAATAATTATACCCATTACTTATTAAACAAGCTTACACATGGCCTGACCATAACAAGTAATTGGAGTCATTATTATTTAATGACATGACAAAAAATTAAATAATAATAAAATATAAATAAATAAAATTTTGATTAGCTTGACTTTGCAAGTAAATCCCAGGACATAATGCCCAGGGTAGCATGTGCTGTGTTTTTAAGTGAAAAGACTGCTCGAGCCATTCAAGGATTTTGACTGTTTGGACAATTGAAGGAAAAGCAATGCAATGCAGTAGCCTTAATACAGCAGCCATTAAGCAATTTGTAATTTATTTGGGTTATTTGATAAAAGATTAATTTTCATTTAAAACTTTAGGTTTAAACTGATTTTTTTTAATGATTAAGCTTTATTGCACCTGTTGTCACAGTACTAAGAGGTCTGAATTTTATTTATCTTACAAATAAAGCTCAAAACATGCCATAGATAGATAACCCCTGTCATGGCCTGCCACAGAGACTAAAAAAAGAAAAAGAAAAGAAAAATCCCCATCACACGCAGTGGGCATCCTTATATGAGCCTCTAAACTAAAGTGAGTGCGCTTGTACCCCGCCTCATTGTGACAGCTTGCAGCCGCGTTGACACCCCTTGGGAGCGGAGAGCGGATTCACTAACCTGCCGTTGTCTGCGGCCGACTAGCGCTTCCAATCTGCTGTTCTGATGGGGGGCTCGATTATTGGGACCTGTCGAAAAAACATGAGGGGCTAACTGTTTGAGAGAAAGACGTGAAAGGCAGGACAATAGTTTTTCATGCATGTTAGAGTTTTGGGTCACGCTGGGCTTTCAGAAAGAGCAGTCGCCCTCTTTATTGCTCATTAACATTGCATACATTACCATTAGATACTTGTTATGAACTAAACGACATGGTTGTTCGATAATCGCGTTTTATGCTTTGGAAAAAGAAAAGAACACTACAGCATCAAGCGTCAAACAGACTGCCCTGTATTTAGTGTATAAAGCACAAATTAAACATTTATTCTGATCTTGACTATTAATGCTAGAAGTACCAATAGTGGCTTAGTTTAAAAGTAAATATGTTATTTATTTATTTAATTTTATTTGTTTATTTTTTACGTTGCCAGTCATTATTATTAATAGATTTATTGTTTCTTTTGTTTATATTGTTGACAGTAGTGGTACTACAATGTAAACAATAAACTTAGTTTTTAGGCGATATATATGAGTATGTTTGGAGTGTGTAGAAAATACTAAAATACTTTTCTTGCATCTTCATTATGTTGTTTACACTCAAATGTACATTTGAGTGTAAACAACATAATCATTACTTTCATAAGCATGTTTTTTTAATATATTTTCTACGTAGGCTGTTTAAGAATTTAATCCATTCTACCAGAACAAAACGTTTCTTTTCATCATAAAAGTGTATGAACATTTTTAAACTTAATAAAATATAATGACAGTCATGAGAGTCTAAAGGGGCCCTCTCCGTTTTATTATTTTTTTCATGTCACATGACACCAAAATGGCTTCCTGCATGTTATGCCAAGCTGACTTTGATCTGGCGGACAAATAATTAAAAATATTTCAATTTTATTAAAGCTTCATAAATAAAATAAATAAGCTTCACTGCTTATTTATTTGTTTAAAATATATACTATTATATGTTTTAAAAAGATACAAAACTATCAACATTCAACATTTAATTTTTTTCTAGTTTTTGTTCCCCTCAGAATTTCAGCTTTTTAATGAGACTGCATTTATTTACATTCTTAAACACTTAGACCAAAAAAAAAATGTGATACTTAAAGTCCCAAAAAAATTAAATGACTTACATTTCTAATATATTTTTGAATAAAAATGAGCTTCACCTCATTGCCCCATTTTTAAATGCCTGAGCTTCATACTAGAAATGTAACTGCGCGCCTTAAAAATGTTGTAATTAGAATTAAATATATCAACATCAATGCTTAAATTCAACTTCCAGTAGAAACTATAAAGGAATTATATGAGGAAAAAATGGCCGAATTGTGAATTGTGAAAGTGGTCAACGCGCGCTAGGAGGAGAGGAGAGAAAAGACCTCCCCACTCCTCATAATAACCCCATTATAAGGCTCATCAATGATGTAATGAAAGCAAACAGTGTGAAAATTGCCTGTAAACAGTTGGATCCGAGTCTTCTAATGAATTCAGTGTCTCTTTTAATCAAAGTGGGCGACCTGTGGGGAGGGGTTTATTGGGCGTGGGGGGGTCCGATTTCCTCTTAGCGAGCCAGTCAACACCCCAAAACACCTCCTAACCAATGGAAGCGAGTCGCTGGGGACTCACGTGGAAGGGGTGCCCTTAAAAACCTAGCCAAAGTGTTGTGCACAAGTTCATTGGTTAGGCTTTATCTGACTTTCCGTTCCCCAATGTGTCTATTTAACCTGCATTTTTTCAGCACTCTACCGTCTAGCACTTTTCCATTGCATTACCTGCGCTGGCACAGAATGCACTTGCCTTTTCCGTCCGGATTCGACTCTACTCGCCACAGCGAAATACCTTTGAACTGATGAAAATTGCAGCTGCTCAATAGGCGCGAGGCTCGAGTTGACGCCGCTTTGCTTCTGTCCGTGGTGCTGAAATGCGCGCGCCCTCTAAGTAGGCTACCTCGTGGTTTTACACTAACACCGTTACTTCAGAACAGCTTTTTGAAATAATTTGATAAATAATTCAAAGCTACCATCGATGCGTCTCGCGTCTTCGAGAAATACCGGGATTGAAAAAATTAATTAAATTTGCCAGCCGAGAGTATATTTAGGCTGTATCGATTTTTT